CAAAATGCCAATTATATGAAAGTCTAAGTGAAAGACGTGCATGATCACTTGATTCAATTGTAACAATATCACTTGAAAATTCTGGTCCCAATAAAAGACATATAGCACGAATTTTATTTGGTACTTTAGGTTTTTCACCCGATAAATTTAAAACTGTAAATTGTTCATCAGGACCAAGTATAACAAGTTCAGGGCCAAAAACAATACGTGATTTTTTAGATTTAAAATCATATATTTGTACAGCAGCATTATGTGGTACACGATAACTAACAACTTTTGATTTATCTCTTGGTGGAGTAACATTTGGTGTATTAGATTTATCTTCAAAATGTCGTGCATCTAATACAAGTAATTGTTCAACTTGTGCTGGTAATTCTTTTTCCCATAATTCTTCATTTTCAGTTAATAAATATGTACTACCAATAACTGAACGAATTTTACCAGTTTTAACATCACGAACATAAATACCTTCATTAACATCTAATGGTACAGCTTTACGTCTTAGAATAACTTCAGCTTCAACAGCTGGTATATAATCTTTTGGACCTCGAACCATCCAACGATCACCAGGATTACGTACAACTTTCTATTTAAATAGAATATAATTAATTAATTTTTTTTTGTGGAAGGAAAAATTAAAATCATATAAATACTTACTCCATCTTCTTTAAATGATTCTGTACAACGAAGAATAAGACCTTCATCTTCTTCAAGAACATATACATCTTGTATACCATTAGCTAATTTTTCACCAGGTTGAAGAAAAAATGTTTTTTCACCCTTAAAAAAGAAATTGTTTTTTATTTTTAATGTTATAATTAAATCAAATTTATTTATACTTTAATTAATTTTTTCTTTCCTAATTGAGGTTTACCATCGGAATCAACTGGATCAAGAATAACACAATATTGACGAGAATTTAATACTGTTACTGATACAACACCAACAACCTATGTTTAAATATTAAATTATTTCTATTTTTGTCTTTCTATTCAAAAAAAAAAAAATTAACCTACTTCTTCATATACATCAGGAATATATGTTTCAGCATCTTTTACATATACTAACCATTCTTCTCCATGAAGACGTTTACGTTTGAATGCATCAGTAAATGTTCGTAATGCGCGAACATGAAGAGCTTTCTAAAAAAAACATAAACATCAATATAAGATTATAATAATAATAATAATATCTTATCTACTTTATCAGTAAGAACATAAGCTTTGACAGTTGAAATAACTTCTTCATAGGCTAATGGTAAATATGAACCAACAGTTCTATTAAGCCATTCTTCACCTGTTTCTCGTTCAATACCATCACGATCAGTCATTTCTTTTTTAGCACGTAAACGTACAGCTTCATTAGGTTTAAGAATAACAGCTTTAATTTGTTCTTCAACACTAACTTCTTTACGTGGAAAATATGTTCCAGGCCCTTGAAAAAGAAATTCATCACCAGCTCGAATTTGTTCACCTTGTTCATTAATAAAATCAAGAACAGCACGAAGACGTAAAGCACAATTAGGTTCAATAACTTTTAATGGTGTTACAGGTTGTTTAAGAATTTCTCCTGGATAAAGTGGAAATGGTTCTTGTGCAAAACGTATATCAACATCAGAATGAAATAATTTAACTTGACCATTTTTATCTATAACAACTTTATCATTTTTATCTCGAACTGCTGGATTTTCAATAACAGCATAATGACGTGGACTATATACAACAACAATAAAAAAATAAAATAAAACAATATGATAAAAACTAATTTTCAACATACGGTATGATTAACATGCGTTCAGGTCCAAGTATAACTTTTTCATGATCTTGTTTAACAAAAGTTTTTGGACCTACTTCAAGTCGAGTTACATTTGTATTTTGATCAAGTACATGTAAATAATAGAAAGGAGGAATTCGATATACTAAATATATAATCATATAGTAAAAAACCAAAACGTCATTATTTATTAATGATATATCTTACCACCGCTAAGTTTTGGATCAGCCATAGTGGTTTGTTTTTGTTATCAAAAAAGAAACGACAAATCTGCAAGAATAAAACGTCCTTTTATGTATGTTAATATCCGTGTAGAAAAAAAAAAATGTGCATTAAAAAAGGGTTATATGAAACAAGAAGAAAAAAAACAACAATTTTCAACTTGATTGTGAAATGACATTAGTATAAGTTAACGTTAAACATTGCACGACTAACCTACAATAATAACTGAATAAGGTTGATTCATGTCATAAATAAGAAGAAAGAAAAAAAAACAGACGATACAAAGAGAGTGAATTAGAGAAAGAACGCAAGAGCCCCTTTTTGACACATTATATTGCAACATAGTCATGAAAGTATAAAAACTTAGCAATTTCATTTAATTCTGAAATATTCTAAATGCGTAAAAAAAATATGTGATAATGAATTGCTTCTATCTAATGTAATAATTGATATCTAAAATAAAATCTAATATGATTGGATATGACGTCTACTTTTTTTTTTTGATCTAGATAAGAAAGAAATCAAATAGAGCAAAAAAAGAAATTTTACTTTTTTTAAATTTCGTTATTATTGAATATGATAAGTATATGTGTTTGTCAAAAAAATAACCATGGCTATGGTGAAAACAAGACTTACATTCGAATTTTTATTGATTTAGGATAATTATATTTATATGTCATTCATAGCCGAGCGAGCGAAACAGCAAATTTTAAGATAGAAGTCGATAGTTCCAAAAAAAAACATATTCGGAATCGAATCGACGATCTAATAATAGTATATTTGATAACTGATACAATAATTTTTCTTCTCGAAGTTGTTAACGTCTATTTTGTTTCTTCAATGAAGAATTATATTGAAGTGAAACTTTGTACAAACATAAGGGGGTGTCTAATTATACATACAAAGATATTTCAGCTTTGTATCTCATTGTTAGTAGGACCTAGGACAATTTCAATATATTTATAATACTTAATTTTGATATCTATGGCATTCAATCAACTGAGTAGAAAATGTCTATTCATTTTTTTCTTCTTTATTTAACCCAAGACACTGCTTTCTATTAACTCTTGTAAATCTCTTCTAATGTTTTCCTTCTTTCTCTGATCTTGAGACATAGACTACGTCAAAAACGTTTTGCGAAAACTGAGAAAATTTTATGAAAAGATGAACTTGAAGTTAGGATGATTATGACAATGCTAAATATTTTCTGTGCTCTTAATCATACTTTTGGCTGCTTTTGATTTTTCTTTTCATCGAGTTGTAAGGAACATACATAATTTATCTTTAGTGCGATCGTAGATTGTTCTCTTCGACTTTAGTTTATGAAACATTTGAACAGCTTACCACTGATTATTTCAAGAGGTTTTAGTGCAAGGGAGGAACAGCTAAAACTTTCGTGTTGAAGTCTCATGAAATCTTCTGAAATCCTACAAAATCTTTGGAAAGAATTTCGACCGATACCCGGCAAAACATTTGAAAAGGTAATTAAGTTTAGTAAATCTGTTAGCCACCTAATTTTGCAATCAGACAAAGACCTGAAGTTAGTCATAGTTCTTGAATTGTCAAGTCTTTCAATATATTGAAGCCAGAGTTCTAATATGCTCAAGTTTTTCAGCTTTCTCCCCCTATCAAACGGGTGTAAGTATAAGTGCGTGCGATGGATAAAATAGAGTTCTTGCCTCCACCTACATCCTATTAGTACGACAGTTTTATCCATGAATATTCAAAAATGTTGATAGAATATTTCTTTTCTAGCAATTTTCAAAATCGAAAAAATTATTGATGCAATCCTTGTTTAGTATTTTCCGATAAATTTGTACGTAAATCATCAAACACTATCTTGACTTTCTTCAAAGGTAACAATACCAAAGTCATTAGTTTTCGAAAGCTAGTATGAGTATCCATATCTTCGACATAATTTTTTTGTAAAATATCCTGAATTGTCAATATATAGTTACTAAATGGAAACTATGACACTACTTTATTTCTTTTCTGTTATCTTTTGACTTGTGTATGATCTATGTGATAATGTTAGTATC